AAAAAAACAAACGCATGTGGGTTTATTTATTTAATTTTTTTTAGCTGTTTCCAAGCGTTTGGGGCCTGGAGGGAAGAGGAACAAAGCGGGTGGTTATTCCTTGGAAGGAGGGGAAGAGGGATGGGGGGTACCCGGGGTTGGGGGGGGAAAAGGGGGGTGATCCAGGGGTGAGAGCCAAGGAGTTTGTTCCTGTTGGCTCCCAGCCAGGTGGCCACGCTGCTTCCCAAATATGTGGCTCAAATTCCCCCTGGGAGCTGTGTCCTTGCTCCATCCTCCCAGCCCCGCTTCCTCCCACCCCAGGGGTCCCTCCCCTGTGTCCTTGATCCTTGAGGGGGAAGTGAAGGGACCCCTGGGGATCCTGGGGGTCCTGGGGCTTTGAGGGATTGAGGGATGAGGGTACAGAGGGATGGAAAAATAGATGGACAAACAGATGGATGAAGGGATTAAGAGATGGATGGGGAGATGGATGGACAGGGGAGGAAAGGACATGATGGATGGATGGATGGATGGATAGATTAAGGGACAGAGGTACAGTGGGAGGGAAAGATGGACAGAGGGGTGAACAGTGGGAGAGATGGTTGGACACAGGGAGAGACAGAGAGATGGATGGATGGAATGATGGACAGATAGAGGGACAGAGGGATGGATAGAAGGAGGGAAAAATAGAAAGATGGACAATAGGAGGGATGGATGGATGAAGGACAGAGGGATGCACAATAGGAGGGAGGGAGGGATGGGACAGAGGGATCAATGCATGGATGGATGAACTGATGGACAGATAAAGAGACAGAAGGATGGTCAACGGGAGGGAGGGACGGAGGGACAGAGGGACAGGATGGATAGACAAATGGATGGATGGATGGAGAGATTAAGGCCTGGATGTGGAGATGGCTGGACGAGGGACCAAGAGATGGGTGGAAGGATGGACAGCCAGAGGGACGGACAGATGGAGGGACGGAAGGACAGAGGGAAGAAAAGTCACATGGACAAACGGAGCGATCAAGGGCTGGCCAGGGGAGAACGGGACGGCCGGAGGGACAGCCGAAAGGGCGAGGCGGGGAAGGAGCAGCGCTGCGCAGGCCGGACAGACGGACAGGCAGGACGCGGCCGGAGGCTCCGCAGCCCCTTTAAGCGCCCCCCCGCGGGCGGGCGGTGGAACGCGCCGGCGGGGCCGCGCCGCGCGGGGGACAATGGGCGGGGGCGGGACCACTGTGGGCGCGGGGGGGGGGCGGGCAGGAAGTGCCGCGCGGCCGCGCCCCCTCCCGCTCAGACACCCCCCCCGCCCGTCGCGGCGGGGCCGCTCTGAGGCGGCGGCGGGAGCGCGGATCCCCCGGGATCAGGAACAGGAACGGCCACGGCACCGGGAGCGGCGGCGGGCACGGCGGCGGCGGCAGCAGCGGCGGCGGGTGAGGGCAGCGGCGCCGGCGGGGAGGGAGGCGCGGGGCGGCATCGCACGGGGCTTGGCGGGGGCCGGTCTCGAACCCGGGTCCTGCCGGGAGCGGGGGGCGGGCTCGAACCCGCGGCCCCCGATGCAGCGGCCGGTACAGCCGCGATCCTCCGGTCCAGCCTCACCCCGGTACCCCAAACCCGACCCTGACACCACAAACCCATCCCTGATCCCCCAGTCCAGCCTCACCACGGTACCCCAGAGCCTGTCTCGATACCCCGAACCCGACCCTGTCACCACTGAGACAGCCGTGATCCCCAAATCCAGCCTCAGCCTGGCACCCCAATCCCGTCCTGGGACCCTGAATACGGCCCTGACACATCCCCAAATGCAGCCTCACCCCGGTATCCCAAATCCGACCCTGACACTCTTAATCCAGCTTCACCCTGGTACCCTGAATCCTGTCCCAATAACCCCGAATCTGGCCTCAGTACCCCAAATCCAGACCTGACACCTCAAATTCAGCCCTGATTCCCCAGTCCAGCCTCACCTCAGTACCCCAAATCCCATCCCAAGACCCGAATGCAGCCCTAACACATCCCCAAATCCAGCCTCACCCTGGTACCCCAAATCCAGCCCTGACACCCCAGTTCCAGACCTGATCCCCAAATCCAACCTCACCCTGGTACCGCAAATCCCGTCCCGATACCCCGAATCCGTCCCTGACACCCCAAATCCAGCCTATTCCCCGAATCCAGACCTGACACCCCAAATCCAGCTGTGATCCCAGTACCCCAAATCTGGCCCCGACACCCCAAATCCAGACCCTCCAATTCCCCTCCTT